TTCAAGTGGACTCTAAACTACGAACTGCCCTATCATGCCCTACTCTTCTCAGATCTAGTCTAACCTACCCTGTCCTGCTTTCCCCGAGCCTAATCGAGTCTACTCTACTCTACGCCTGCTCTACTCCACTCCAGCAGTGCGCTACTCTACTCCACCCCTGCGCGGCCCGCTTTGCATTCTTTTCGCCAAGTTGTCGAGAACGAGTCCGCGCGCGAGTGCCTTCTGCTGGCTAGGTGGGGGCGCCTTCAATGCCAGTATCAAACTGCGCCACACTTGATTCTTACGTTGTTGGGTGGAGGGGGGGGGGAAATGGTATGGGTCCTCTGACTCGCTTGACCTGGCCAATCTCATCCTACTCTACTCCTACAGTATCCCTTCTCTAGTACACTTACTTCTAGTCTACTCCTCTCCACCCTATTCTACTCTACTCTAGTCCAGTTTATCCGACTGTACTCTATCATCTACTCCACCCGATTCTATTTTACTCGATGTTGCCAATTCAGTGCCAGAACAGGGGCGGGACGCACATCCCGCGCGAACGGCCGACCTGTCGTTCTCGCCTCGGCGCCGCGCTCATTTCTCGAGAGCGCCGAGCTCCCGCTGGGGCGGGCGCGGCCCGCATTTCCCTCGCGCCGCCTCGGCGACGCGGCGCGAGCGGGCGACGCTGCAGCCCTCGCCCCCCCGGCGCCGCGCAGCCGTTGCTCGAGCGGGGGCGCGCCCGCCCCGGCGCCGCGCGCGCTCTGCCGCTCGCCGGTGCCCTGCTGGGTGCCCGCGCGGGTGGGCGGCACGTCGCCCTCGCCCGCGGCTCCGTGCGCACCGGCCGCGGGAGTCTGGCGCTCCCAGCGCGGGCGCGGGCGCGGGCGCCGGCGCGGCGCCGAAGCGCACGGGAGCGCCGGCCGCAGCGGGGCCGCACAGCAGCGAGCGAGGGATTGACGTCGCCCAGGCGCCGCGCAGCCGTGAGCGAGAGTGGCATTGCCGTGTCCGCGCTGCGCATGCTTCGTCGTCGCCGCTCCCATCGCAAGTTTTGCCGCCTCCGCCCCTGTGCGGCCCGCGTAGTCTATTCTTCGCCAAGGGGTCGAAAGTGGGGCCGCGCGGCGCCTTGTGTGTTGCGAGGCGGGAACGTGTTCCAATCCCAATATCAAGTTTTGCCACATTTTATTATCATGTTGTGGAGGGGAGGGTGGGAATAGACGGGTCCCTCTGGCTCGCTTGACCGGGCTAGTTCGACTCCTCTCCCAACCCCTATTCTACTCTACTCTGCTCTGCTCAGTTCTTCTCTGCTCTGCTCTGCTCTGCTCTGCTCTACTCTGTTCTACTCTACATCTGAATTTGACGATCGTTTTGACGGTTGATTTGACGCCGTTGGAACAGCCACACGAAGCCATTGTAATATAAGAGGAATCCATGCGGATACAGAGGAACCTATGCGGATAGCAGAGGAAACCATGTTGATAAGGGAAAACCATCCAGAGAGTTTGACGATTTCAGCGGCAAATTTGAGTGGGTAGTGGTGGACTAGCTCTCATTGGATTGGGTTAGGATTCCGGTAGGCAAGCCTATGTGGATAAATGATTCATTATGCAAGGCTCATAAGTTGGCTGCGCCCTAGGGAGCGCAGTCCAAAGGAGGATGAAAGGAGGAGGGAGGTAACGATGATGATGATGCTGATGATGGTGATGATGATGATGACGATGACGATGACGATGACGATGACGATGATGATGATGATGATGACGATGACGATGACGATGACGATGACGATGACGATGACGATGATGATGATGATGATGATGATGATGATGATGATGATGATGATGATGATGCTGATGCTGATGCTGATGATGATGATGATGTGATGATGATGATGATGATGATGATGATGGTGACGGTGATGGCGACGATGATGATGATGATGATGATGATGATGATGATGATGATGATGATGATGATGATGATGATGATGATGATGACGATGATGATGATGATATGATGATGATGATGGTGATGGTGATGGTGATGGTGATGGTGATGATGATGATGATGATGATGATGATGATGATGATGATGATGATGATGATGATGATGATGATGATGATGATGATGATGATGATGATGATGATGATGATGATGATGATGATGATGATGATGATGATGATGATGATGATGATGATGATGATGATGATGATGATGATGATGATGATGATGATGATGATGATGATGATGATGATGATGATGAGGAGGAGGAGGAGGAGGAGGAGGAGGAGGAGGAGGAGGATGAGGAGGATAAGGCGGAGGTTACACGTTTCTAGACCATCTTAGATCTATCGCAGTCTCCAGGGAGAGCCTCGGGACCCCGCGAAAACCTCCGGAACCCGCGAAAGATTGGCGGACCCCCCGAAAGCCGCCGAACATTTTCGATGGCACCCCGAACTTTTGTCGTCGTCCCCCCCGTCTCCCCTCTCCCGCCTTTGCCCTCCTTCCTCCCTCCCTGCCTCCCTCC